GACGTTACTATACACTCTACCCGACGTTACTATACACTCTACCCGACGTTACTATACACTCTACCCGACGTTACTATACACTCTAACCGACGTTACTATACACTCTAACCGACGTTACTATACACTCTAACCGACGTTACTATACACTCTAACCGACGTTACTATATACTCTAACCGACGTTACTATACACTCTAACCGACGTTACTATACACTCTACCCGACGTTACTATACACTCTAACCGACGTTACTATACCCCTCTACCGACGTTACTATACACTCTAAACGACGATTTATATACACTCTCCCGACGTTTCTATACACTCTAACCGACCGGTTACTATACACTCTAACCGACGTTACATACACTTAACCGACGTTACTATACACTCGAACCACCTTCATACTGTACAAAACATTACCACTTCAACACTATACTATGCAGTGTATATAACCAAACGTGCGTTCTTACCAATACATTCTAACGTACACACTATGGCAAATTAATTTTAACTACCAAGGAAGTTATTCGCGCGTGCTACACAAACAGAAGAATGCAAACGAAACAAAAATACACTTACCCACCAGAAACTTACCCACCCCGAAACAAAGTACTCTTAAGCACACAGGGTACGCCCATTTTGTTACTGTACCCCCCCCCCCACACGCACACGCAACACTCACACACACACACACACACACTCCACACACACACATTATTCCCAGCGCCAGTATTACAATGCACGCAATGAACGTCAGCCTTCAGGTATGAATGATGAATAGTAGCTGTGGCAACGACCACCTAGCTCATTCATCTTACCCTAAGAGGTGTAATATTGTATGTATGTATGTATGTATGCATGTATGTGTGTATGTACGTGTGTATGTATGTGTGTATGTATGTGTGTATTTATGTATGTATGTATGCATGTGTGTATGTCATTGTGTTTGTGTTTCAGTGTATGTGTGGGGAGGGAGGTATATGTATACGAATATGTATGTTAATGTATATGCAACATACATATACATATATATACATGTATGTATATACATATTTATAATATAATTTATAATAATGTATGTACAGTATATATATGTATAATATATAATATATATATATGAATACGATTACGAAATATGTATGTGTATGTATATATATATATATATATATATATATATATATATATATATATAATATATATATATATATATATATATATATATATATATATATATATACAGATGTACATGTTAAATGTATGTGGTGGGAATATAACATATATTTGTATATGTATTGGTATATTTATATGATAATGTATATGAATATGTATGTTAATGTTAATGTTTATGTATGTGTTGTGTATTGATGAATGTATGTATGTATCTGTATATATACACATTATACATATATGTTTTATGTGTATGTGTATGAATGTAGGTTTGTTGTATCATATACTCATTATACATATATGTTTTATGTGTATGAGTATGTCTATATATGCATGTATGTATGTATGTATATACACCTTGTGGGGCATATATGTTATATGTATATGTATAATGTATCTGTGTGTGTGTGTGTGTGTGTGTGTGTGGTGTGTTGGTGTGGTGTGCTGTGTGTGTGTGTGTGGGTTTTGTGGTGTGTGTGTGTGTGTGTGTGTGTTGTGTGTGTGTGTGGTTGTGTGGTTGTGTGGTGTGTGTGTGTGTGTTCGTTGTGTGTTTTGTGTGTGTGTGTGTGAGTGTTTTGGGGTGTGATTCTGTGTGTTGTGTGTGTGTGTGTGTGTGTGTGTGTTGTGTACATTGTCATATAATCTTACTTACCTTAAATCTATATATCTATATATATATATAACTATATTATTATATATATATATATATATATATATTATATTCATACCATCATCTGATTTTGGGGAATCCTGCGAGCGAGACGGCAAAAAAATCGTTCGAGGGCGCGGGCTGCGGGGGGACCTTGGGCATCATTGAGGGCGGGTCGGGCCGCGCGGGTATGGGCGGCGGGCGGCTAGATAGCAGAGCTCTCCCGGTTTCAATGCCGCTCTCCTGACCAGCCCACGTTCCTCTAACTACGATGATAATATCCAACACATCTCAAAAAGTGATCCATCACGCGGGCTTCGCTGCAACAGTGACCGACGTGCCGAATGCATACCGAGTCTTTTTTTTTAAACTTTCGCTCAAAAGAGAGAGAGAGAGAGAGAGAGAGAGAGAGAAGAGAGAGAGAGAGAGAGAGAGAGAGAGAGAGAGAGAGGAGAGAGAGAGAGAGAGAGAGAGAAAAAAGAAGAAAGAAAGCAAGAAGAAAGAAAGAAAAAAGGAGGAAGAAAGCAAGAGAGTGGAGGGGGAGGGAGCACCCACGCAATTCCTCTTTTCCATTTCCCCCACAAATAAACCCTTCCGCGCTGTGGCATTCGAACCAAACGAAACCATCTGATAGCTGGACTCGGCAGCGGCAGACAACATGCAGCCGACATGGCAAACGGAAGTGCAGAACGGACGTGGCAACGACATGGCAATGGAATGACCGACGGACATGGCAAACGGAAAATTGGCAGACAGACATGACCAAACGGAAGTGGCGCAGACGGACATGGCAGACGAGAGAGGGCCGAGAAGCATCAAGGACAGCTCGCCTTCCCGCCTCCTTTCCGCCTGTCACTGGCCCATGATTATCAGCCGCCGCAAAAGGCTTTCCACGGACAACCGTTGCGCAAGGAGGGAGCTCAAGGAGAAGCATCCTGAATCAAAGCAGCGGCGATAAATAAATAAAAAAAAATAAAAAAATAATGGCTAGAGACGCCTTTTGCACGCACGTACGCACGCACGCACACAAAATCTCACTCACGCTAGAACCGTAAAAAAAAAACTGGACAGAACCAAAATGAAATACAGAAAGACAGGAAAAGAAAAAGAAAGAAAAAAAGAGAAAAAAAAAGAGAGAAAGAAAGGAAGAAAAAATTAAGATTAAAAGAAAAAGAAAGAAAGAATGAAAGAAAGAAAAAAGAAAGAAAGAATAATAAAAAAAAAAACGGCCCGCATTCCCTCGCATTGCAAGAGGATCCGCGTGGTAACTCTTCTTATCCCGAGCCGTCGATTTCGGAGGTGATGCTGGCGCTCGCTCATCCGGATATGCGGATACCCCGAGCGACGGCTAGGGGCGATGATTGGGGGGGGGCAGGGTACGTGAAGAGAAAGGGGAGATAGGGTGAAGAGGAAGGGAAGGGGTTGAAAGGGGGCAGGGGCAGGGGCAGGGGCAGGGACAGGGCTAGGGGTAGGGTAGGGGAAGAGAGGGGAAGGTAAGAGCAGGGGAGGAATGGGACATGGGGATGGGATACGATGGAGGGAAGGAATAGTGAAGGGGAAAGGGAGGGCGAAGAGGAAGGAGAGTTAAAGAGGGAAGCGGGGGATGGGGGGGGGGGAAGAGGCCACAGCATGCCGTCCTGGAAGCGTGACCAATGCCTTTTGAAATGCGTTCGCCTCCCGCCAAGTCCGCCACTCGGGAGCCCCTGCCTCTCGCCAAAGGGACCTGGGGCATGCAGGCCCTACTTGACACTGCCCTCTATGCCCGGCCCATCCTCCACCCCCTATCCACCCCCCTATCTCCCTCCCTACCATCCCAACCCCCACCCCACCCATGCCCTCGTTTCCCCAATGCGTCGGCCCTCAAGACGTGGCATCGCCGCAAAACTCCCTTCAAAGGGCTCCCCCCTCCCCCCCTTCACTTCCGGCCTCTGTTGCGTATCCTACATCCCCCCAACCCCCCAACCCCCCCATCCCACCCCGTTCTCCCTCCTATCCTGGCCCTGTCCCGTCCCCGCACAGAAAAAATGGCCACCTGGTCCGGCCACAGACAAGGCCGCTCTGTGTCCCGAGGCGGGCGGCCCCGGAGAGAGAGAGGGAGAGAGAGAGGAGAGAGAGAGGAGAGAGAGGACAAGAGAGGACAAAGAGAGGACAAAGAGAGGAGAGAGAGGAGAGAGAGGAGAGAGAGAGAGAGAGAGAGAGAGAGAGAGAGAGAGAGAGAGAGAGAGAGAGAGAGAGAGAGAGAGAGAGAGAGAGAGAGAGAGAGAGAGAGAGATAGAGAGATAGAGAGAGAGAGAGAGACGGGGGGGGGGGGGGCAGGGAATGTGCAAGGGGGCGGGACTGGCACGGGGAGGAGGGCGCGGATCCTGAGAGGGGGAAGGGAATTACGGAATTACTTGTGAATGGAATGAAATTAACACACAAAGAAAACGGAAGGGAGAGAGAAGAAAAAAAGAAGAAAAAAACAAAACAAAGATTAAAAGGAAAAAAAAACACGACAGATGATAAACCACGCAAGGATAAAGGGGAAGACGCACAAGAAACCCAAGCCCGCCAACCGCGAGGAGCTTATGCAACGGCGAGGCTGCAACGTCCAGCAACCGATGCAACAAGAGGCGGCCACCGGTTCCGTGAGGCCTTTCGCACGCTCGAGGCCGTGCGGGGAAGCCATGCAAAAATCACAGGCCGCGTCGCCTCTTCTCCTATGAGGGACACCAGATCACTTGGCCTGCATTCTCTGCCTTTGCCAACCCGGAAAAGAGCTGCCTTGCATCGGGCGCGATCTAGCCTCTCCTCTCATCTCTCCGCGTTTTTATTCTTTTTTTTTTTTTTTTGCTTTCGCTGTCTCCTCTTCTCTCTCTCTCTTCCACACTTTTTTGCTTTCGCTGTCTCCTCTTCTCTCTCTCTCTCTTCCACGCTCTCTTCCTTCGTTTTCTCTTTACTCTTAGCAGCTCCCTTTCTATTTATCCATTCGCTCTTTTCTTTTCTATCTTATTATTTTCCACCGTTTTTCTTCTCCTCTTTCTCTTTTTCTTTTTTCTCTCTTGTTCTTTCTTCATTACTTCCCCCAGTTTCCTCCTTTACTGCCCTTCCTACTTTATCCTTTCTTTCTCTTGCTGTCTCGTAAAACTTTTCTTCTTCTCTTCGTCTCATTCTCTTCCTCTTCCTTATTCTTACTTTGTTTACTGTTCCCGATATTTTTTTCTCCTTCTCCTTCTTCCTCCTTTGACATCTCCTCCTTTCCCTACCAGCTTTATCTTCCTCTCCTCCTCTCCTCTTCCTGCTCGCTACCTTCCTATCTCCTCTTTACCCCTCCCCCCACCCCACGAGCCTCCCAACCCCCCTACCCCAATACCCATCCACTCCTCTCCCCACCCTCCTGACCCCCCCACCCACACCCACACTCCGCTGCCCCCCTCCACTCCATTCCGCCCTAATCCATCCCCCTACCCCCCCTCTCTCCCCCCTCCGGACCCCCCCCACCTACACCACACTCCGCGTCCCCCTCACTCCTCCCTCCCCCAACCCCACTACACCCCACACCAACCTCCGCTGACCCACCTCCACTCCTCCCCCACCCGAACCCCCTACCCCAATACCTATCCAAGCCTCTCCCTAACCTCCGGACCCCCCCCCACCCCACACTCCGCTGCCCCCCCACTCCTCCCGCCTCAACTCACCCTACACCCCCCACTATCACCTCTCCCCACTCCTCCCCCCCACCCCAACACACTCCCAGCTGCGCCCCCCTCCACTCCTCCCCCCAACCCCACACACCCCACACCCACACTCCGCTGACCCCCCTCCACTCCTCCCCCACCTGAACCCCTAGCCCCAAACGCCCCCCCCCCCCCGCCCCTCCACTCCCTGTGCAATCCCCAGGAAGAGGAACGATGTCTCGGACGTGTAAACGACGTCGCACGTCCGTTGACAGCACCAGCAGGAAGCCGTCCAGCGCCTTCAGGAAGAGCGTGTCCATCTCGACGTCCAGCTTGCCTCCGCCGCCGTTACTCGCACACGCGCCGCCCTCCGTGATCTTCGGGAATCCTGCGGAGGACACGGGCCATGTAAGAGCTTGGCGGGTAGGATGCTTATTCTAGAGGCTAGCCGGGTCTCTGTTACCAGTTGTTCGGGTTACAGCAACAAAGCTACTAAGGTTATATTATATATGCATGATTACATAAACTTACAAATGCTTTCTCTCTCTCTCTCTCTCCTCTCTCTCTCTCTCTCTCTCTTCTCTCTCTCTATATATATATATATATATATAATATATATATATATATATATATATATATATATATATATAACTACACATAAAGGGGTGGGAGGAAGAAAGGGAGTAAAAAAATAGAGAAAGGAATGATAAAAAAAGAAAGACAAAGAGAAAAAGAAAGAGAAAGAAAGAGAGAGAGAGAGCCCGACGCTCCCCGCCCATCTGTCCGCAGCCGCCCCGGGCGTGGGTGTCGCCTCACAAGCGCCGAGCTTCGGGTTAATAATACATCGGCGGAAACAGGTGTGGTGGGCCAAGCTGCCGCACCTTGGCGTAACGCTTATCGACCCCCCCCCTCCCCCGCAAGCAGAGGAGGGGGTGGGTGGGTGGGTGGGTGAGAGTGGGGGGGATGTCAATGCGGGCGCACGCAAAGGTCAGTGACCTCGCACGCACACAGAGAGGCCTTATGCTTCGGGAGATGAGGCTTTTATGATTTGCTCTCAACTTCTCTGCTTTAAGGATTCACTTCCTTTCCTTTCGTTCTCTCTCCTTTTCTCTATCTCTCTCTTTCTCTTTCCCTTTCTCTTTCTCTTAACACACACACACACACACACACACACACACCACACACACACACAACGACCCTATATGTGTGTGTGTGTGTGTGTGTGTGTGTGTGTGTGTGGTGTGTGTGTGTGTGTGTGTGTGTGTGTGGTGTTGTGTGTGTGTGTGTGGTGTGTGTGTGTGTGTGTGCATACACATATCTATATACATATATATAATATATATATATATATATTAATATATATATATATATATATATAATATATATATATATATATATGCACACATAGATATATACATAGACATATACATATACATATACATATATAGTATTTATATATATATATCATATATATCATATATATCATATATAGATATAGATATATATATATATATATATATATATATATATATATATATATATATATATAATATATATATATATATAATCATATATATCAGTATATATCATATATATCATATATATCGATATATCTCATTATATATATATAACATATCATATATAGCATATTTCATATATAAGAGATTACATATCTTATATCATGATATATCATATATAATATATATCATACATATTATATATCATATATCATATATATATATATAGTATACATATCCCTATATTCAATATATAGCATATATATATACATAGATATATATACGATATTTACATTATATATCCATATATTATACATATATATATATACATATAATTATATACATATATATACCTATATATATAATCTATAATATTATTATCTATTATATTATACATATATATATACATAATATATAATATTATATATATATATATATATATATATATATATATATATATATATATCAGCTCTCTCTCTTTATCTCTCTTTCTCTCTCACACACACACAAACAAATACTCTTTTCTCCCTCGCTCACCGTCCACTTTTAAATCCCCCATTTTTTTGCTTACTCTTCCTTCTTTACCAAAATCCCCCCCCCCCAAAAAAAAAAAAGTAAATAAAAGAAAACTATAAATTTGGTAACAACAAGATAGCTTGATTAATGACCAACCAAGAAGCGGAAATAGCCAACAGGGGTGGAGCAGGGGGGTGTGGTGGGTGGGGTGGGGGGGTGGGGGGGGGGGGTGGGAGTGGGGTGTGGGGGGGGGGGGGGGGGGGGGGGGGGGGTGGGGTGGGGGGGGGGGGGGGGGGGGGGGGGGGGGGGGGGGGTGGAGGGGGGCCACATTCCTGCCCGTCCCGTCCTCATCCACGACCATGGCACCCAACACGTCCTCTCACTCTCTCTCATCACTCTCTTCTCGCGCTCCTCTCTCCTCTACTCGCCTCCCTCTCCCTCTCTCACTCCCTCGGGCCCCTCACACTCTCACTCCCCCCCCTCTCTCTCGTTCTCCCTCCTCTCTCTTACCTCTCTCTCCTCCACTTCGATCTCCTCCTCGCTCCCTCGCCTCTCTCTCCTCTCTCTTCGTCTCTCCCCTCTCTCCCCTCTCCCCTCATCCCCTCCCTCTTCCTCTCTCTCTTCCTCCTCTCTCTCTCTCTCACCTCCTCCCCCTCCTCTCATCTCTTCTCTTCTCATCTCCACTCCCTCTCTCCTCTCACTCCTCTCCCCTCTCCTTCACTCTATCCCCTCCCTCTCACTCACCCCATCGCTCTCTCTCCCCATCTCACCTCTTCCCCCATCTCCTCTCTCCCCATCTCTCCCCTCTCCCCATCTCTCTCTCCTCATCCCAACTCTCGCCCTCTTCACCCCATCTCTTTCTCTCTCGCCCCATACTCTCTCTCTCTCTCTCCTCTCCTTCCCATCTCTCTCTCGCTCTCATCTCTCTCCTCCGTGTCTAGGCTCATCATGTTCTCACCTCTCTCTCCCGTCTCCTCTCTCCCGTCCGTCTCCCTCCTCTCTCTCTCTCACTCTCTCGTTCTCAGGCCTCCCCCATCTCTCTCTCTCTCTCTTCCTCCCCCATCTTCTCCTCTCTCTCACTCTCCTCTCACTCTCTGCTCTCTCCTCTGCTCTCTCATCCGCCTCCATCTCTCCTCTCTCTCTCCTCTCTCTCTCTCTTACCTCTCCCTCCCACCTCTTACCTCTCTCTCTCGCCTTCTCTCCACTCTTCTCATCTCTCTTCTCTCTCTCTCTCTCTCACTTCTCTCTCTCACTCCCTCACCCATCTCTTCCTCGCTCTCGCTCCCTCTCTCTCCCCCAATCTCTCTCATCTCTCTCTCTGTCCCCATCTCTCTCGTCTCCTCTCTTCCCCATTCTCTCTCTCTCTCTCTCTCTCACCGCATCTCTCCCTCTCACTCCTCTTCTCTCTCTTTTCTCTCTCTCGTCCCTCACCACTCCTTCATCGGCCCCATCTCTCCTCTCTCCTCGTCCTCTCCTCTTCCGCTCTCTCCCCATACCTCTGCCCATCACACTCTCTCTCCTCTCTCTCTCTTCCTCTCCTCCTCTCTCTCCTCTCTCTCCTCCTCCTCTCCCCTCGTCTCCTCCCTCGCCCCCCCCCATCTCTCTCTTCTCCTCTCTCTCTCCCGCCTCTTCCCCCCATCTCTCTCATCTCCAAGCTCATCCCTCTCACTCACTCTCTCCTCTCTCTCTCTCTCATCACCACACGTCTCTCTCTCTACCTCTCCCTCTCCTCCTCTCCACTCCTCTCTCCCTCCTCAATCTCTCTCTCCACTTCCTGCTCTTCTCCCTCTCCCTTCTCACCCCCCTCTCCCTCTCTCTTCCTCTCTATCTCTCTCCCTCCCCTTCATCTCCAACTCTCTCTCCTCCACTCAAATCTCTCCCCCCCTTCTCCTCTCACTCTCTCTCACCCTCTCTCGCTCTCCACTATCTCTCCTCCTCTCTCCTCCTCTCGTACTCCTCTCTCCCTCCTCCTCTACACATCAATCCTCTCTCTCTCTCTCTCTCCCCATCTCTCGCTCTCTCTCTCTTCCCCCATCATCTCTCTCTCTCCTCTCTCTCGCCCCATACTCTCTCTCTCTCCTCTCTCCTCGCTCCCCATCTCTCTCATCTCTTCTCTCTCTCTCTCTCTCGCCCCATCTCTCTCTTCTCTCTCTCCCCCATCTCTCCTCTCTCTCTCTCTCTCTCTCTCTCTCACTCATCTCTCTCTCTAGCTCTCTCCCTCTCTCCTCCGGTGTCTCTCGTCTCGTCTCTCTCTCTCTCTCCCCATCCTTCTCTTTCTCTCTCCATCTCCTCTCCGTCTCTCTCTCTCTCTCTCTCTCCTCTCTCTCTCTCTCTCTCTCTCTCTCCCTCCCCCCATCTCTCTCTCTCTCTCCTCCCCCCTCTCTCTCTTCTCTCCCGCTCCCCATCTCTCTCCTCTCTCTCTACCCTCTCGCCATCTCTCTCTCTCTCTTCTCTCTCTCCCCATCTCTCTCTCTCTCTCTCTCTCCCCGCTCTCTCTCTCTCTCTCTCTCCCCTCTCCCCTCATCCCCTCCCTCTTCCTCTCTCTCTTCCTCCTCTCTCTCTCTCTCACCTCCTCCCCCTCCTCTCATCTCTTCTCTTCTCATCTCCACTCCCTCTCTCCTCTCACTCCTCTCCCCTCTCCTTCACTCTATCCCCTCCCTCTCACTCACCCCATCGCTCTCTCTCCCCATCTCACCTCTTCCCCCATCTCCTCTCTCCCCATCTCTCCCCTCTCCCCATCTCTCTCTCCTCATCCCAACTCTCGCCCTCTTCACCCCATCTCTTTCTCTCTCGCCCCATACTCTCTCTCTCTCTCTCCTCTCCTTCCCATCTCTCTCTCGCTCTCATCTCTCTCCTCCGTGTCTAGGCTCATCATGTTCTCACCTCTCTCTCCCGTCTCCTCTCTCCCGTCCGTCTCCCTCCTCTCTCTCTCTCACTCTCTCGTTCTCAGGCCTCCCCCATCTCTCTCTCTCTCTCTTCCTCCCCCATCTTCTCCTCTCTCTCACTCTCCTCTCACTCTCTGCTCTCTCCTCTGCTCTCTCATCCGCCTCCATCTCTCCTCTCTCTCTCCTCTCTCTCTCTCTTACCTCTCCCTCCCACCTCTTACCTCTCTCTCTCGCCTTCTCTCCACTCTTCTCATCTCTCTTCTCTCTCTCTCTCTCTCACTTCTCTCTCTCACTCCCTCACCCATCTCTTCCTCGCTCTCGCTCCCTCTCTCTCCCCCAATCTCTCTCATCTCTCTCTCTGTCCCCATCTCTCTCGTCTCCTCTCTTCCCCATTCTCTCTCTCTCTCTCTCTCTCACCGCATCTCTCCCTCTCACTCCTCTTCTCTCTCTTTTCTCTCTCTCGTCCCTCA